CGAACTATATTACACACACACACACACACACACACAGAGTATTAGTTTTAAACAAACAATTTAATACTGGTATGCAGCTATGATGATTTTGAAGCTTGGTTGAGGTGGTGAAGTCAGAGGGTGGGATATTTCCCAGGAAATGCCTTGCTGCTAAATGATGAACTAGCAATTGGCTGAGTCCTCAAGGGTTAACTCACTGTTATTAATGTAGCCTCACACTCTACAAGGCAGCAGGAATGGAGGGAGGGGAGACAGCATGGCAGACAGAGACACACACCCTGTATGTGGGGGAGAGAGAGAGATGTGCATTGCTCCTTTAAGTATGCTGACCCCACTCTAAGTACACTGTCTTTTTAAGTAGATCAGCAAGCTGAGATGGCAGCTGCTGCCAGGAAGCTCCCTCCGTCCTGAGCCCTGTCGTGTGTCCCACTGCTCTATGGAAGATGGGGAAAGCAGGGTGAAAGAGCAGGGGGAAGGGGGACACCCTGACATTAGCCCCCCTCTCCTCCTCACCCCACACAGCAAGAAGGCGGCTCCGGGGAGCAGCTTCAAGGCAGAGGGCAGGAGCAGCACATGGCAGTGGGGGGAGGGACAGCTAGAGTGTTTATCTCTGTTTGCTGTAACTTGAACCTAAGGCTAGAAGGGATTCCTCTGGGCTCTTTAAGTTTAATTACCCTGTAAAGTTAGTTTCCATCCTGATTTTACAGAGAGGATTTTTACCTTTTTCTTTAATTAAAAGCCTTCTTTTTAAGAACCTGATTGATTTTTCCTTGTTTTTAGATCCAAGGGGGTTGGATCTTGATCCACCAGGAGTTGGTGGGAGAAAGTGCCATTGGGACACTGATACCCAAACTACCTTGCCACTATGGATTCTTTACCTAGCTCAACTGTATTTTATATAATCTACTAATGAGAACTCTTGACATATGTCTAGTCTCCCTCATATTACTGAGTTGATATGAAAAAAATAGTTGCATGCAAATTAGCGAATTGTGATATCACAGTTAAACCTGAGTGAAGAATGGATTTTTATTTTTATTTTTTTCACTGGCAATTCTAAAAAAGTATGTAAAATTTCAGTTCAAGTGCAATGTTTCATTTAGATTTAGAGCATTTTTTGGTTTTGTTTTGAAATTTCCTTCAGTTTATTTATTTTTTTTAAAATCCAAGTCATTTTGAACTAAAAATCAATGTTTCATTTAGAAAATGTCAAAACAAAACACTGACTTTTTCAGCATTTGTGTTTTTTACATAAACAATTCAGCAAAACATTCATGAAATGTTTGTGTCTCAAAATCTGCATTTTGTTGGTGAAAAAGAGTTTCAGCCAAAAAATTTATCTCAACCCCTAAGTGAGGCCATTGTGACTAGAGCTATTTGAGCTGTTGAACTGAATCTGTCTGCATTCTATATAATCATAACATTGAGATATAACAGCTGATAATAACTTAGCCATCAAGCCTTAATTAAGTTTCAGATATAGTCTATGTAGAAATTTTGAAGTATCTCTTATTAAGTTTGAAGTGTCTCTTATGACACTAAACTGGGAGGAGTGGTAGATACGCTGGAGGGTAGGGATAGGATACAGAGGGACCTAGACAAATTAGAAGATTGGTCCAAAAGAAACCTGACGAGGTTCAACAAGGACAAGTGCAGAGTCCTGCACTTAGGACGGAAGAATCCCATGCACTGCTACAGACTAGGGACCGAATGGCTAGGAAGCAGTTCTGCAGAAAAGGACCTAGGGGTTACAGTGTACGAGAAGCTGGATATGAGTCAACAGTGTGCCCTTGTTGCCAAGAAGGCTAACTGCATTTTGGGCTGTATAAGTAGGGGCATTGCCAGCAGATCGAGGGACATGTTCCTTCCCCTCTATTCGACATTGGTGAGGCCTCACCTGGAGTACTGTGTCCAGTTTTGGGCCCCACACTACAAGAAGGATGTGGAAAAATTGGAAAGAGTCAAGCGGAGAGCAACAAAAACGATTAAGGGGGCTGAAGCACATGACTTATGAGGCGAGGCTGAGGGAACTGGGATTGTTTAGTCTCCAGAAGAGAAGAATGAGGGGGGATCTGATAGCTGCTTTCAACTACCTGAAAGGGGGTTCCAAAGAGGATGGATCTAGACTGTTCTCAGTGGT